ATCTCCTTTTACAGAGAAAAATTGACAGTAGAATGTGCTGTCCCAAAACAGGGATGCATAAAGAAATTCCTACCCCTCCCCGGAAAAAATTGCCCTTACTTCCGAAAATTTTATTATGGATACGCCCTTGTTGTGTACACGCCAGAAACACTTCGTCAGTTATTCCATTTTCCTTTTTTGAGGTTTGTCGTAAAATGGGTAAAAAGTCAGAATTGAAAAAAAAATGTTGTTGATGATACGCTGAACAGGCGATCGGTGTGGTGAACATTTTCCTTTTTATCTTAATTGCAGTGGAGTTTTAATGGTTTTTTTTCAACCAATGTGATTGGGATTCTACCATCATGTAGGTTGATGGCACCACTGTACCTACGTCTTCAACTTTTCATGTGACAGTCGTCGTGCATTCCTGCAGCGTAGTTAGAAAAATGCATCATTTATGTAACATTGGACTGAACATTTTGCCGACGGGATCAACTCAAAGAATTCAAAAGGACAAGACCGCCGTATTTTCTTCTATACAGACGAAAATTCAAGGCAGTACTAGGTGGCAATATTCCAGGACGGGTCTGCCCAAGTCAGCTAGGTGTCTCCAAGCATGAAATTGCTACCGAGGTCATGCATGGCTGAATAAAGGATCCTCATCCTGAAAACAAAGATGGAAGGGAACATTTTTGGCTGCCAAAGAGAGCGATCCATCCAGCGAAGGACTCAGCTGGCTAGCGGGCACGGTGTATGTATATCTACCGACCGGAAAAAAAGAAGATTTAGTCATGGCTGAAAGCTTAAAGGAGGGCAAGTGACGTTTACAGAGAGCTGTGAAGTTAATAGAGTAGCTGTCTCGTATATAGTGAGGCTCATCTGTTCGCGTTTTTACGGGGCATTCTGACATATAGGCCTACATGTAATGCCCTCATCTTCAAAACTGCAACTTCACACTTAAGTACTGGGCAGACCCATTTTAAGCTCCTATTTTGCTTTAAAATAAAAGCCAGATGCCAAAAAATGTGGAAGTAAAACACACACAAAATACAGCGCGCTGAACTGAAAAGTAAACGGTCAGTGATCTACATCGAACCACTTAGCAAATGCGGTTTCCATGTTAGAAGGGGACCTTGGTTTGGCACTTCATAAGATTTGGAAGGCCAGGCATGACTGTTTCAGTGAAAATGATGTTCAAAAAATGCTTCAAACATAATCATGTTGAATCAATTTTGGGTCCAAAAAACTGGAAATGGGGCCAATGTTCCTCTCATGTTGCTATGTCCGCGAAACGATATCATCTTCAAAAAAGACCGCCAGAAAGCCTGCATTCTGAGTTTCACCTGTCGCCAAAGTGAAGGCGAAACAGTTGACGGATCTTGAATTTGATAGCTTATTTCATTCACATTCTTTTCCTCTTGCCATCGCCTCTATGTGGACTAAGAGCACATCCTCTCTGCGTCTGTCTTGTGTGCTTCCATCGCAGCCAGGTCTTCCTTGCTCCGGGCCAAGTAGCCTGGATGAAGTGTGCTAAGAAGCGGCGTGGTTTTGTCCCACACTCGCTTTGACCACTCTCATTTCATCTTTATCACTTAATCCACTAAAATACATGCAAAAGAATAGCCCAAGGGCCGTTAAGGCTTGTGGAATACATTGGAATATATCGTGCATACCTGTAATAGATGGGCATTGCTACTTCCTGGTATTGATAACTAATTCACATGAGGAGGATTTACGCGCCAAAATGTTCAAATTAAAGCAGCACTTAATCACTTAGTCCACGGCGTGTGGCTTACAAGGATACCTCTGTAGTATTTTGGACGAGTGTGTTCGGAAAATTATTGAAAACTATGTTGGGAAAAAATGGTCATAAATGAAGAGATGTCCTGCTGGCGCTAATTGGCCACGCCAGTCGGCCCTTTCTCAGTCGCAAGTGACGACACGATCTACATGACGCTAACGGGTGAAAGCTGAGATGAGAATTGTCACTGTTCCATCTTGATTCATAGGAGGTTATCACATCCAGGCCTCCCCTCGCAGACATCGCGGATATCTGCCGGTGTTGGAAAGTCTCCCCAGGGAGGCAACCTTTTTCAGTTGATTTTGGAGGGGGCTGGGTTAAGGCCGGGAATGGCTACGCACGGGGGATTTCGAGTATCTCGTTCTCCTTTGCCCGGACATTATTCGGGCTATAATTTCAGCCTGGATGTTGCGATAAACACTGTCTGGAAGGAGCATGATTGATCAAAGTGCTCATCGGTACAGACATCAATCCCGGGGTTGCTCCTCACATCGACGGTACTCCGGGACTACGAGTACCCTGCCCGCAAACCTGTCTCGCAAACATTCGCCTTCGCAACCAGTATTCTTTACGACGAGGAAAATTTAACCAAATACAGCCGCCTGTCTAAAGTGCCAATAGAAATACAAAACCTATCAATAGTATTGTGTAGACGAGGTTTTGTTTGCCAGTCGATGGCCACATAAAAATTTCGTCCCATTAGGTTAAAAAAAGGATATGACGGTACCAAAGTAAAAAAAAAATTGATTCGGGAAAGTTTTCGTAGCAGGATATTCGATGCTTTTTGCACTTATTATCTATTTGCACCGATCTGAATTTGCATTTTGCAGTCCATTCACCGTCCTGATGCTTCTGTCAGTGCCCGGATTCTGCTTGTAAAGTCTCCACTCCAGCCGGTTGCATTCTGCCACTCTGAACACCTTGGGCTACTAGAAACATGCCCAGCAGAAGCCACAAACGGGAATAATACAAGAACACTGAATATTTTTCTCGTCACTGCAACTTTTTCAGAACTAACACTAAGTCTTTTCATATGACATCAACAGAAATTTTCTCGCCCTTTCTCAAGTAATATTTACATGAACCCAATGAGTACACAGTAAAAGATTTCCGTCTTCACATCATGCAAAAGTCTTAATGTTTAAAAACACGCACCTGACGTATATTAACTAATAATTCTTTCATTCTATTGTAATTAACCCAAAAATGGCCTTGAATGGAGATAATCAATGTCATCCTTCAAATAGTTTGAATCTTTGAGGGCAATGCAGTGGCTCATCTTCACGTTCACAAATCATGACTGTCGCAATAATGAGGATCGAAAGTGACTCATGAATTTAGCAACTTCAGAGAGTGTCGTGTTACCGTAATCACAAACCTCGTTCGGAGTACTTTATACGGCAACTGCATAAGCTATCAATCAACAAAAGATATGACAAAAGTCCGGCAATATAATAAGGAGCTAAATCCCAGGCATTCTGTAAAATTATCATGTTTCAATAAAACCGGTTTTGCACGTTGCGAAATTTCAAAACCTGAGCCGAATCAACCGACATGATCGGTGTGTTTGACACTACAGTGCCCAACGCAGATTTATTTAAAACTCGAGGACCTTTAAAATGCTGTTGAATAGTGGATATGAACGTATACAATAAAACTTTCTTGTCAAAATTCTCAAAAGGGAAATATACGAGAAAAGATATCTAAAGGACCCGGTTTCAGCGATAAGATTGAAGTTACCAAACCACTCAAGCCCTTGGTATAAAACTGCCCCGGGCCCTTTTCCCCAATGTTATCGAACGTTTCCACTTGGGTTTTATAGCATCGTACATGTATCCATTTCACGTTCTGTTCGAAACTCTAAATTTTTTAATTGTTTCCCTCTTTACAAAAAGATTTCGAAAATTGTATTGTTTGTGGTGGAAACGTGCTTGGAAAAATTCACAATGCACGCATTTCTACTTAATCTGGCGTCAGTTCTCTCTGGAAATAGCAGAAAGAACACCCAGACTTTGATTGCTGTAAAACTGTCGTATACATTATTGTCAAGATAAATGCGACGTAGCTGAGTGCCGGTTATTGTTTGTTTTGTATAAGAGAAGTATATGTATTTGAAAATGACAGTTCGATTTAATCACGAAGCTTTTTGTTGTTGCCAAGAGCGGCGTGTGACGGGCAGAGCGTGTTTGTACTAGACTGGATTCTCATTGCATGCACACAATTAAATACAAAGACAGAATTCGCATTTAATTAATGAGATGTCACATTTACATGGGACCTGTCGGTTTTGCTGTCGGCTTGAAAAAACCTTTGTCAAAGTTGCACATCATGCCAAGTTGGACGACCTGAAGGTGACAGAACGACGGAAATTTATAGTTCACTGCTCCCTCCGCCGCAAAGGGCCTATCTTTGAATCGCTGAGAAACTTACAAAAAACACTGTGCTCTGACTGGTTTAAAAGATATATCACTCACAAATCTGCACAATGTGCTTGTCATTAGAAGGTCTTATCTTGTTTTCAACTAATTTCCAATGACTTATCAAAAGCGGTTATGTATTTAGACACTTCTTTTACTATCTTCTTCACAGCAAAGCCATTACTGGCACTTGGCACTTTTTGAAATTTTGAAAAGCCATTTTGAAATTCTCAGCGTAGTAACTGCTTACTCAGTCTACATTAGCCATGATAATAACTTTATCAAATATCGATATGAATTTGCATGAAAAATGCATACATGCGAACGTATCGTATTGTACGTGAAACTTACGACCGGCAAAGAAATGCATATAATTCACTGTTTGATGCGCCTCACAAACGGCTTTTGTACAGAATTACATGAACAGTTCCCGATTTAACAATTTCTAAATAAATTAACGCAGAGGGTTTTCTTGTCATTTTTTAGACTTCTGAACGTCTGGCTTGGGAACCAGGATTCAACTGGGTCAAATATCAGAAATGTCACCATTTATCTCTGTCTGAGATGTCTTGCAAAACTGCACATCAGGTACAAAAGTCCTTTTAAAACACGGTCCAATTGCGAACAAACTCTAGCAATGATTTTTTATCTTCTCTTTTGCCCAGCCATGGAAAGAGTAGCGTGTATAAAGCTGATTACAAAACGATTGCATTTGTTTGTGACCTTCTTGCTATCTACACGAGTACGGTAAATATACAATTACATATTTAAAGCCACAAGAGAAATTCTAGCATCCTACTTACGGGCTTGAGACCAGCGTACTGTAAGCAGCAAAACCAACACGAAAATGCCAAGGGTCCAAGAATGTCCGCACATCGTGGATTAGATCAAGCAAGACTTCCGACCCGGTAAGAAGACGTGGGCGTACGGCGGTCACCGCAGCGGCCAGGTGCCAAGAAAGAAATGAAGTTAAGGTAAATCTCACAGTGGTTGTAACGTGAGATAGGGCAGAGAGGGTTGAGCTACGCAACACCTCGGTTGTGGCTTGTGCTGGACACGCGCTCTTGCAATGTTGCATTTACCATCGATGCATTTGCATCCACCCTAAGTCGGCCCCCGAGACACCGTGGAGCGTTTTTAAACGCACCAACTCGAAATATCTTGGCTGAGTCACCACCTTGTCAGCCGTTGCCATTGCTCCTCCTGCATCTCATGCATAATCGAGCGACGTATATGATTTGCGGGGTCGCGCATGTGTGCAGAAGGTGTGCACGATGACGGTTGCCAAGCAACAGATTGCAATGCTATCTTCATGCTTAAGCAGGCATTGTACGAGAGGTGGCCAAAGGCAAGTGGCTGATAAAGACCACCAGATCAGGTTTCATTCATAGATTAAATATTTCTTTTGAAATTATCATGGCGGTTAAAAAAGAGAACATCAATTTGAGTAATCATAACAATGTGCCCCATTCTGAAGACAAGAATTATTCAAAACCTAAATATTTAAATATTTGTTGAAGTAACCACTTTCACGAATTACAACTATTAAAACACTACCTTGGCTGAGGATTAGATCAACTTTCCTTCCGATGGACTGCAATCAGATAAGATGTTTCAAAGAAGAGATGCGTGTTGCCAGGTTTTTGCAGATTTTTCGATCCTATTAAGCCTAAAACCAGTCTTGTGACGTCACCCTATTAAAAAATAGAGCGTTTATTCTTAAGAATGGACAATTAACTTGATTGACAGAAATCGCACCGTTTTAGATGTTCCACGCGTTTATGTTGTCTCTGACTTTTTCGATTTGCTGCGCTAATTTTTTTTGCTTCTTGTTCAACTGGGATAACAATTTTTACACTCTCCGTCCATTTTATTCTTATTTCATTGTTTTTGTCATATTTACTCAGACATATAGTTATGTTAATTGTAAGGCATAATTCTCATTATTTGTATGTTTTTACTTCAAGTTTAACCTCAGTTTTAACTCTTCCTCTATTATTAAGTAAAACATTCAAATAACTTTAACAATATAAATATAACTGGGGGTCTGTACTCGATAAGCCGTGCTTTTTAGAAGCCCCCACGGTAGCACTGTATTGTTACTATGTAATGTTTCATATGGAAAAATGAAGTGAAAGTGAAGCAGAACGATGACAATTTATGTATAACTCTACAGAACAGATTAACACTTTGGAAACTTACCTTTCATTACTTTCCAGATGACATTCCAAATGCATGTAATTTCCACACAAATAATTTTCCACGGTAACCGTGGGATTCCGATGAGTAAGCATGTAATTTCAGAGTTTTGAACGTGGTCGTCATTTGAAGAGACAGTGAACCGTGCTCCCCAATTTAGCCACTCGCCAAACTTGCTTGGTGGTGTAAAAACTCCCCAGGCTCGTATAGTCATATCAATAGCATTTGATAACTTGAATATAGTATATTTCCACAGCTAACACTTATAAAATAAAATCCATTTGAACTTCTGAGATAATGAAGAGAGTGCGTGTGCTTTACGATCTACTGATGGTGCCCTCTGTTTGTGATGTAATATGATGCATGCACTGGTGCATGTGAATGGAAAAAAATAGTTGTGCACCCAACCGAAAAGTTCCCCAATTAACGGCTTGAACCAGGAGTAAATCTTTTATGTACATGTACATGCATCTGTCCATATACATAGCTTGCCAACGCTAGGCAATGGATCGAATTCATCTCGTCGCTCAAAGCATTGATGAAACTTTTTATCTTAAGATGGACAACAGTCGAGGGAGGGACGTGATTCAAGTCGGAGAAATGACTCAAAAGGTGATTTTTTTTTTATTTAAATGGCGAGGATGCCTCATTTCTCCTGAACCTCAAAAAGGTGTGAAAACGTTCAGGTTTCTCGTTTATATTTCCCGCTTGAATCAGATAAGATCAGATCTGCGCAATGATACAGAATTTGACTACACTGGACTGACTGAGGTACTGGCTTGGATAATAGGCAAGGTTTAGTTTGGAATATATTAACCCAGATTGACCCACCGACCGATAGGGTTGTGATCAGGTTGACTTGGCTTGGATCAGATCATTTTGAAAGTGGATTGAACTCGATCATACAGGACAAGGTGCTGTTTGAGTTGAGTCGCGCTGAGCCTATACTCGAGTTGAGCCCATCCGATTTGAGTTGGACTTGCGCCTGTCGGTGTGGGCAATCACAGGCAAGTGTCTGCAGCACTGACACCAGATCTGTCCGTATTAATAAATCAGGCATAAAACACACTTCGCTATTGTCCTCTGGGAATTTATTTTTCTTAAACTTTGCTGACTATGGAGTGCAAAGACACAAAATGCAAGATACGTGTATACAAATAGGATGGTGAAGAAAAGTCTCTAAAACTCTACGGAATAAAAAGTGCATATAATATCCGCCCTTAAATTCACCCGACGTAATCACTTAAATTCTGAAGAGAAAATCCTAAAGTCGTGTTTAATAGAAGATTTATTTCGATTTCAGTGACAAATTTTCAATCCATTACATCATGACCAGGTCACATTGTCGACCATCGTCCCTTCCCGCCGCCATTTGGATTTGAGAAATTTGTTTTAATGCAGTCAAACAGAGACCAATGACAAGCCATTTTGCCTGTCACCTGACAGGTCCAAGGGATGCGCAGTGACAAAGAACAGAAAGAGATACGTTTCGCATCGGTTTCGCGCTGGGTGTGACTAGCGAAGGGATGCGTGCGACACAGTTCAACTGAAAAGGGTGTGAATCATGCGAGACTGAATGACTCGTGATGTAACTCTGGTCATGTAACATTTTAAACAGCAATAGGAAGAACGTAGCCTACAGCTCTGGCTAACACAAACTATGACTATAGCCTGAGCAATATACACAGATTTGAAGTTTAAGTTTCCTTGATAACAATGCAATATCTCTCTGGTCACATTGGTTTAATAAGACACAGCTGACAACTTCTCATTCCCCGCGCCATTTGTAAATTTATTGGTAACTGACATACATGTCTAATATATCACTGTATGTTCAGTGTTCGTCCCAGAGCTTGCCAACAAAATCAAAGCTCTCTTGGGTGGGACTCCAACCCACAAGCTTCTGCTTACTAGTGCAGACATCTGAAGCACTCGACTATCGAGCTTGCCAGGGTCGGCTGGCTGGTGCATCTTCCCGACACAAAGTACATCTCTTGAAGTACTTGACAGTATCCGCTGCTTCATCTGACTCGGACCGGACGTCGTGGGTTGAAGTCCCACCCGAGTAGGCTTGTGAATTTTTCGCAAGCTCTCAAACACTGAGCAAAGTGTCATAAATATACACGAATGTTAGTGTTAGGGCAATACCCGTCATGAAAAAAAAATCACGAAAGGCCCTAACCTCTGTCTAATAACAAATAATTGATCAATCAGGCGACAACAACCAACCACAGCCGCTCTACATGTTTCTGAGTCCTTAGCCACTGATTTTCAGAACAAGGGGAACTGAAGGAAGACAATTAATTAATTAATTGGCTACAGAAATTTGTTTCATCCAAGGATGAAAGTATATATTCCCCTAGAAAAATATAATATACATGTACAATGTTTCTTCCAGGTTTTTATCATAATGTCTTCGGTGGAAGGGCTTCCACATTATGAAAACGTGGATAACACATAAGCGGAGGCTGGTTTGCCATGACAAAATTTAAGCAATAGCCCATAGTAAGCAGCTTCGGCAGCAGCTTCCTAATAAGCCCCAACAGAGAAATATCATGGATTAGAATGTATTTTAGGCAAGGGAGTCCTTTGTCAATCCTCAATATATGCAAAATTATCATCTCAGCAGCATCTTATCATCTTCAAAGACGACTGTAGTTGAGTACTGCTGAATTTTATAAATTTCTTCCACAATATGAAATTTCCTGTACGAATTCCATTATATAATACACAACTTAAACTTAATTTGTACAAAAAAAATACAAATGTTAAAAAGTATAAAATATTGCTCTCTTTTCCTGGAAGTTTTAGGATTCTTTAACACAATTCATCCTGACAACAAAACTTGGCTGTTTTAATATCTGACTTGGTTAAAAATGTGACCCACCATCCCCAAACCAGACTGAAGTGGGCAACTTCATAACCCTAAAAAGTGGAACTTTCACCGTTCATATTTTCATGGAAGGTTTGCAGCTATCACTACCCGTAAGAAGCTTACTGCAGACAGAATTTCGATTTAGCACGGACCACTTTGAAGTGTAAAAAAAAAGCTGAAGGAGAGGAATTGTCCAACATCACGAATACTGACTTCAGCCTGGTTTTGGGAAGGTGGGCCACAAATAATTGGATAAACTGTCGTATCAAAAGAATTGCAAGAAAAAAAGTCATCACATTTATTCATTTACAATTATGCCTATGGATGAGAGAATATAATGGAAAGTAAACTGCTGTTCCCCAACACTGCCCTCGCCTCCCCCTAAAAAAATTTAAAACCTGTGTAAAAAGATTTCTTCTGCTTAGCCTTCTGGGGATATCAGAGAAATGTGTTGTGCAGTTCTTCGCCGGTGTTGGCATAGGGGCCGAGATATTCTGCTGGCACGTGGCCCTTCCTGCCGTCCAACTCTGCATACCACCATGTCTCATCTTCCCTGTCTATGATGGTGAGGATGTCGCCTGCCTTAATGCTCATTTCTTCAGGTCCCTGACGGGGAAAAGACAGAAAGAGTGACATTGGTGATGCTACCTCCTCACCCAAGGATAAAGCAGAAGTTGTTGTTAGTCGATGAAGAGATGATGCTCGGAATATACATGGGCACAGACTAATCCTGCAACCAAAATTAGAAGCCATTATCTGTGGTGTTCCCACACAGGTACACACACCTGTTTACATTACCTACCTTGGATGGCCACTCCTTCGTCTTTTGTAGTTCAGAAAACTCATTGAAAATCCTAATTTTCACCAATCTTTGAAGAATTAATTTTAATGATGGTATCCTTGACTGTTCCTCTTCCTGCTGCTACTCTAACCTTTGACCCTTTTGCTTTTGATGACTCTAACCCACTTGTCACAAGTAGAGCCTAACCAGTGACCCACAGGCTACCGTACTCACCGAGCCCTAATGCCTACATGTATGTCCATGTCTCCTAATGTGTCAGTTTCTTTGTTTAAGGGGCACAAATCAGAAACCACTGACCCCTGACATACTGTGGCCAAGGACTATGCCCCATCTTTACCCTAACCCTAACCCGAGCAACACACGGACACTGCTTAGTGAATGCATCACAGTATGTTGATTTTTTTGTTTCCACTGCGTGGCATTTGAAGTGGCTTGGTGTTGCTGATTCAAACCAATATCAAATATCCCTCTGGTCATGGAAGAGTTGCTGGATGTAGGTTTGTGCGTCACCGCCAAGGTACACTCTGTAGGTTAGTTGGGTTCGAGGAGCAATGAAGGTGGGATGTCATTCATGGTTGCACGTCTAATCAGTTGCAGGCGCTGTTTTGCAAAGCATTGTTGATGCTGGTGGCACAACTTTACTTCAACAAATCAGTTTGGCACTGGTGATACGCTCCGGGTGTCTGACATTAAGTGTAACTCAACAAATGTTTGATGTGATACATTGATGATTTTCTCAAGCGTTTCTGCACAGCTGGCCACACTGTGGAAAAACTTCAACTCAATCAATGCGCACGGCAAACAGTCTGACCTTGAGGTAGTCCTCTGCTGTGGAGTTTTTTGGCATGTTGCCAAGAGCAGAGCGACTGTTGCTGGCGCTACATCCTGGGCAGCAGAACTCTGTGCACGTGGGACGTGGGTGACCAGAGAGTATGCAAAGCGGGATTACTGGGTCACTATTAATGCACTGAACCTTGCTTTTGCAACGCTGTATAGGCAGACCCACTTGTGCTGAGGCTCAAAGTCAGAAAGCTGCAGTAAGGGTAGCTCTGTGAGGACCCAGGCCCCAATTTCACAGTGCTGCGGAGCAGGATATGCTTACAAATTTCACAGGAAAGCAACAAATTCAGAGGGGAGCCAATCTCAAGCAACAGGGTTTCCGTGACATTTTGGCTGGTCTCCAGTTGTTTTCCTGCTCTAAAGCACACTTTTTGTGCGCTTAGAATATCACGTGTGCTAAGCAGTTCCACAGGACCATGTTGAGAAAAGCCCTGGTGCCCCCTGTGATATTTGACCATGTATTGATGAGGCAGAATGACTCATTGGTTTCTGAGAGCTGTTGCGACTTTTCTCATTTTTTCTATCATGGGCCGTGGAAGAGGGGATGGGGCACTGCTCCCCTCACTTTATCGACTGAGGGGGTAATGACCCCTCCACTTTTGGCAAGTACTTCTAATGGCTGATGCTTGGAGGTCTCACAAATGCCCCTCCCCCAACTTTGAAAATCAATTCATTGCCGTTGCATTTTACTAATGTTTTGGACCATTTAGATGCTACTTAGAGCATGGCATTTCAAACCGAAACTGATACCAGGCAGGAAGTTGTAACATTCAGCAATGAATCATTCTTTGATTTCTTGATCATTTTACACGCAGAATGTTGAATTTCCAAAGCACGAGTAAGGAATACAAAAACTGACATATTCCATCTTCATGCAATATGCCTTTCTCTTGGTCTTTGGACTTTCTATTAGATATTTGACATGTATTGCACAAACCTAAGCAAATTACATCAAAATAGAAACACTGGAACATCATTTGCTCACCTGTGCATCGTAGTCGAACTTGGCCATGAACTTGTTGGTTTTTATGCTGGACGATTCTCCCACAACTCCTGTGGAATACTCACCCATTGAGGAATAAATTCCAGCTGGGGAAAACCGAAACAAAACACATTTGCCAATTTGGTTTTTTAGAGTCACCCTGTTTTTCAGTGCCCATTTTGCCTTTGGCATACAATGAAAATACAATTTGTAACAGCAAATTTATGAGAAAAAAAAAACAAGAGTACGAGGGAGGAAATCAGAGTACCTTGATGTTTAAAAGACACTGAAAGCTTGTATCACGAGGCACGGGATTTGAATCAAGTCAAACATCAATGAGAAATCACTCTCAGAAAAATCATGCAGAACCCGTGTCTTTTTATCTTTAAAAAAAAAAAGGAAAAAAAAACTTCTATTTGTAAGCCTCAAGCATAACATTTGCATGCATTATCATATCATTATATACTTCTTTCTTCCCATTTTTGAAGGTAGGCAGTATAAAATGTGAATCGCTCTTGCGTGTTTGTACCCTCAACTATCGACTTTCTACATTCGGGCATTCTTAACCACTTAACCAGTGACTACACTGTACTAGTATAAAGTATTAACAAGTAGTGTTCAACACACCACAGCATACTGTTTGGAGGAAACTGATACCAATGAACAAACAAACAAACATACGCAGTCACCATCATCCCACTCTTGACATTTTTGCTCCCAAAAAATTTAGAAAATGAAAAAAATGTCTGACTAAGCCACTTATTTGAAAGTGCATACATGTTCGCGTGTCTTACCATGATTGGGTGGAGACTGCGGCGGGGGTGAGGGCAAGGCTCGGGTCTGATCTATCTTGGGCGGGCCGCCGGGAATTGGAGGCAAGGTTTGCCTGCTTCGACTGTTAGTTATTCCACCCCCACTTTTGCCCATCATGTTGTCTCTGTAATAACACTCATACACAATGGGTGCTTGAAGAAAGAATACCAAAAATGGGAAAGGACGAGTAACTTGGTAAACACTGAGTTGAACCTTTGCAAAGTCTTGAAGATTTCAACATTTTAAGGTAACATTTCAATCTGTGTGAGTGGCCCAAAGGGATCTTCAAAGTAAGTCCATTGGCTAAGATCACTTACAGCTCATGAATCTCTAGCCAGGTCCATGTACTCGTGGGTTTTGCAGAGATATAACAAGGCTGTAGTAACTGCAAGGTAATGCAATTTTTCTAAAGCCAGCTGTATCCTGTGTGCTGTTTTGATATCCCATTGAAGTCATAAATGTGTTTTTCATATGACGGACATCCTATCCTGATCATGTTGAAAGCATATATTGGCACCTGTGAATGACAAATACTGTTGGATACTGTTCCCCTTAAAATGCTGTGGTGCAGCCTAATGTAGCAATTTCAGAAGCAACCTTGGCTTTCTAATCAATCCCAATACTACTCCCTCTCCAGGCCCGTCAGAGGGTATTAAAAAGTGTGGGGGGGGCAGTGTTTTCCATCCTTAGGTGATCAATTTTTGTGAAGCCACGGTGTGGGGTTCGGGGCCAGTTTGGATTTTAGATGCTCTCTGAAGCAATCTTGGGGACTTTCCAGGCCACTTGCTTATGTAATTTGGCCCCAAATCTGCTTGCATTTACAAAGTGACATAATGACAAGAATTTTCAGTAAAACCACAGAGCCAATATACACATACGTACTGTACCATAAAACTTGTTTCATTTGTGTTGCATATATACATTAGCATAACTCTACTGATTCTGCTAATGTGTAGGGCCGAGTGGCCTTCAATTGAGGCTTCTGCAAAATAAATTAACAAGACGTATTCAGGATAAATCAACCTTCAGTGAGTTTGTGATGAAAATTATATCGTGCGTATTTATTCAAAATGGCCACAGACATCTTCAGCATATATTGCAGGCTGGGTTTAAAAAGATGCCCTCTTTTGTAAAAAAAAAAAAAATGAATGCGGTAGGATTTTTGTCATGGGATAGTCAGACTTTAAGTAGTCGACTGGTGTAAGTAAAATTGTCTGGCTGTTTTTATTTCGGAAAAAAAAAAAGTTCCCGATAGTCTGCACTAAGCTTCCATACAAGAAGGGCCGTACTGGCGAAAATTAAAAGGTGGATTTCAAAAGACAACCACGATGTACGGCCCTACATGTGTATGTGGGGCTAAGTCGTGCCCACTGCCCATGTCAGGGGCATGTCGCATTGTTATTGTTACGATTCTTGAAGTTGTTCTTCATGCAAGTTGGAATAAATATTTATTGAGTGTAATTTAGAACAGCCAAACCATTAGAATTGTTTTTAACCAGATTGAGGACTTGGAGGGGCAAGAGTTTAACGCAACTAAAATCCCTTTCAACATTGCCTGCCTTCTCGTTTTGCACCATGCGTCCTAATCATGCATGCATTCAATGTGGCCCAACAAGCATCACGTGGACCAACGTGCCGTGGGCATGGTGAAATTGGCCCCCTTGCAGCGCAACCATCTACCAACCTACCAGTCAGGGGTTGCCGTTTTCGAGTAAGCTACTCGTGTTATATCATGGTGAATGCAGGGAGTACGCGTATACTAACTCCAGATGATGCACACGCATCCTGCCAAGCTACCAGGACTAGCTGCTCAAACGCACCATGGGTTTACAACATTTACAAGAACATGACGTAATTTGAAGTGACGTCCAAGACGAGGAAAGATGGCGTATGGTCAAGACAAAAGATACAAAGTAGGGGTAAAGTGTACCTTTCCAAACGTTTTTAAAACTAGCCTTTTCTGCACAACCTTAGAAAAGATGCAGTGTAAATATAGTGCTTTTATGTTTTTCGCGTCTCAAAAAGTGGGCCCCCCCCCTTGGTTCTGGCGGCCATGCTCTCTGCCTTCACAGGTACCCATTTATCTCCCTAGGCGGAGAGAGAAAGCATGGGTAAAGTGATGGGGCATATTTTGTGGCAATCAGTAGAATCGAACCTACGGTCCTACAATCGGGAGTTACAAACCCTTACCAAGAGGTCAAAGGTCATCCAATGCAATTAAGCAGTTTGGAGGATCCCATTACCTAAATGTATAGGCCAGAAGACACTGCTTAAGTTTCCAAATGTATCAAACAACAATCTACGTGTAAAAGATTGTGCATCTCCTAGAAAGCCAAGCTGCATAGGGATCCCGCAAGACTTCCTGTTGAGGTTGAGTTATCTTGAAGATGTCTGATAGACAAGAATGATTCGGTGAGATGCCTACATGTACCTTACCAGTAATTGCTCGATCCCTGGGAAAAAGAGAAAATTCTATGCAAAAAAGCTGGCTAAACCATTCCCGGTCAATGATAAAATTCTACAGTGCTATCTAAATGCTTCATTCTGCACCATTCTGCATCATTCAGGTTGTCATGGTTACCTGGCCTGCTGCTTCCAGTCCTCTTCTGCGAAATAAACAGCTGAATATCCTTGTCTTCATGGCATTCCGATAGAGCTTTCCTCATGTCTTCAGAATTCTGTAAAAAAATAGCAAATACATGGAATAAAAATATACAAAGAAGCCGCATCTTTTTTATACTACTCAAAAAGTAAGGACTACTTTTTATTTTGTGTATACTTTTTTTATATGAGATATTTTACTGCTGAAAATGTGCATTTGATGTTTGAAACGTAAAAGGTTTTTTATTCCGATGAGAACACCATCTAGACAACCAAAAATGGAAGAATTAGACCTCGCTCATTGCTTGGAAAAAGATTACAAGTTATGAAAAAAGTGGTCCTTGACTTTTTTTGAGTAGTGTATCTAACAAGTGCGTATAACTTCCTGCTTTTTATGAACACAATTATTTAACTTTAGTTGGGCCTACATGAAAACAGTCAATTGTGTTTGCTTACCCCATCATCACTGCAACACTGTAGGGATATAATGTTGGCAAAGACCCACATTGCATTCCGTAAGAAGCGAATTCTTTCTGTCTCCAGTTGCTGAAAAATCTGTTCAATGAATGACAAACAAAATGCTCCTTCTGATACAGGTAGGCAGATTTCAAACATTACAGGGAATTAAAGATAAATGGCTTTTTCACTGATGATGGACAGAAACAGAAAAAACAACCACTGTTAAAAAGAAAATCAATGTTTGCTTTATAATTTCACTCTGAACAAAATGAAGCATCTTAATTAAAGGCAACTGAGGCTTGAACACAGTTTCAACAAGAGGGTGTCTTGTTCTCTGAAGATAAACTTGAAGGATTAAAACAAAGGTTGCATCTGCAGGCTACTACGGTATTTCTGATCTCTCTGCATTTCACTTTCTTCACAACTGTATCTCTGGAGCTGAAGAATCCAGTGCAAATAAGCAACAATCTGTTCATAACCATGCATTCCACTGGAAATCACACGGAAAACATTTGTTGTGACTGACAGGCACTTGCGGAGTACTCCACTGTGCACCAACATGCCCAGTTTTGTGCTCATTCAGACGGAAATTGTGAGCACTTTCTATATCTTTATCCTTCATGCCTGTACATGTAAACCTGCCCCTGAAATAGGTGACCCACTCTGTGAAAATAAGTCTTAAGTCGCCAGAGTCACCTTTTGAGTTGTCTATTGCATCGGAAAGAGTAAACTGAGCTTTTGTTTTGATAAACCGGTATCACTCAGTTTCGCTTCCTGCTTATACTCCATGATGAGAAACGCTGTGGGTTCCTATTGATTTACACTGTGCTCACTGTGCAAAATTATCCTAAAGGACTTTTTACTTCAAAGTGGCTCCAGCAACTATTTTCACAGAGTGGGTCGCATATGACATGCCATTCTTTGGCTCTAGTGAACATAACTTATTTTGTCTGAATAGCAGAGCTGCAGTCTCACAAATTGTGTGGCTAAACAATAGATGGATGAAACCTTTATCATTCTGTTTACCCGTGAGGTGGAACTTTCACTTTTCTGAGGTTTATGTGTCACATCTTGGTATGCAGTAATGTTGGAATACAATGTAATGTTGTAGTTCAATACAATGTAATGTTGTAGTTCAATGTCACATGATCAACAACCCACCAATAAGATGACCAGGATTTTTCAGGAACTGCATAAATACAACTTGGCACAATTTTGTGTCCACAGTTGGTAATATGTGGGTCCGACAAGACAAAGTGAAAACTACGCTGCTACAAGTAAATGACCAGTAGAAAGGCCGTGCCAACTTTAGTAAGAAAAGTGTGTTCACCCGAGGCATACTTTATGAAGTAAATATGCTAATCCTTGCAAATTCAGTGTTAAGGGACAAAGGAATTACTGTATTTTGCCATGAACATTGTGGTCTTCTTAAGATGGGCAAAAACATCTACTCATTATTTGGGGCCAAAATTTGTGACTTCAGAGAAGCAGCAAACTTTCAACATCACACAGCCCCATGCCATGAAATTTTTTTTTCTGGAGTCATTTAAAAACTGCTCGTGACATCTTTCTTACCGCAGACTCATATTTTTAAATATTTTGTAGCATTCTAAAAGAGTGATATTTGCTACTCTAACGGGCTGTGTACAGCAGCCAAGTTCAAGTTAAATACACGGTCTATCTCCAATGTTCTTGGAATCTGTATGTGTGTACAGAACAAATGGGGGATTAGAGTGTTTCCACACGTCAGCCGGAGAAGAGCTCCGGTGTGCTTGACATTTTAACCACTCCACCATGCCTGTGTATACAGATACCCAGATTGTTTTTACATATCCTGTGGTGGAAAGTGGCCAAAGTGTAAAGTTTATGTATTTGGTAAGTGTTGGAAAGAGGTAGATGTAAGGAGTGATGACAAAATGTGAGCATCAAATCCTAACATACCACACACAGTTGCGCCATCTGTTCTTCCCACTGTTGCCGTGTCTGGTCTAATGAGGCTACATCTTTCTGGTACTGTGCATCTGAAAGTCAAGGACGGTATGTACATATCTAACAAGATAGAACATGAAGCCAGATGTCTGCAGTGGTGCCAAGAACACACTTATGACAGGTAGAGTTCCGGGTTGAGACCAATCCCGTGCTTGGATTTAGTTTGTGGATTTGACCAAGATGAGTGCAAAGATACGCGTACTGCCTCTTTGATTGACTGAAACTGCAAGGCAGAAAAATTCTGGCAAGAAAATTTTTGAGCTATGCAAAAAAACCAAAAACTGGTGGGTACGCAGGAAATTTGGATGTGGCACAAGTGTGTCGGGCAGAGTTACAAAGCTTGCACTTCAATAACACACCTCTTTTTATTTCATTTAAAAGGCAAAGTTTTAATAAGAGGAGGGTGTATGCATCCTCACAGAGCAGAATTCTCCTTTCTTGTTTCTGTATCTTAAGATATCAACTTACCAGCAACTGAGGCTGCTTGCCTAGTCCTGTCCTTCTTCAATGCCATCTGAGAAATAGGGAATTTACCAATAACTGAGAATGAGTTAAATGTGCCATCAATCACAACATAGATCCATGTCCTCATCAGCACTGCATACGCATGTGGTTTGGCTAAAGAGCTGTTCTGGAGATCAAAATCTCACTTTAAATTTTCAACAATTTTAATAAAACATCCCCAAAACTCAACTACAAACATATAATCACCACAAATAAATAAAACTGAATACAAAAAGGTGAGACACATGTATATATATAAATATTTCAAAGAGCAACCCCTCCCATGACAAAAGGCATCGAAATGTCAAAATTACTGGCAAATTGTAACCCGCTCTGCAAAACGTTATATTGTGTCACGCAATGCAAAAACATGCCATGGCCCATTCCATGTGCCAAGGGTGAAAATATATGGAAATATTTTGAGGCCAATTGCTTCACCAGAAAGCCTCTGTTGATAAGGAAATCAAGAGAGTGTCTAATTTAAGTTTAATATTTCTGTTTGTAACGTTTAAAGGGCATTCTCTCAAAAACGTGTGTGAAAAAAAATGAAATTATATGAATATGCAAATGGCAAATAACTCCAAAATGCAAAATGCCACTGGAATTAATTTTGTATCAAATGAAAGCTTAGGATGTGAGCAATATATATATATGTAACTCAAATTCAAAAAAATGTGACATGATACACCTTTTTGCAGAGCTGATCAAAATTAGAGAAAGGAGGAGAAAAATAAACACAATTTGACGGATGAGTAGACAACTTATCCTCAAAATCCCTTCCTTCCATCAGCTATGAAAACATAAAAGAAAGCACACAATTAGAGTTTTACTAACAGCCCTGAATTCTCCCACATACTAACTATGGATTGAGATTAAAAACCAAAGTTCTACTAAATAGACATTGCTAATCAAAAGAAAATTGTGCTCAAAAGCAGATGTGACTGCCTAACAAGAACCATGAATTGCCCAAATCATGTCTGCATAGCAATCTAACAGAACAGTGTCAACGAGTAGATAGGGTGGCCAGGCTATGCCCCACGTTCCTATTCAATGCTCATGGGATGACGAGCTTGCATTAAACTCTGGCTTAGGAGAGATTCAGGAACACAAAGTGACTACGAAGAATTTACTTGTTTCCTCGAGAGGACAGTAGACAAAGGAGCAATTTTCATACTCAATGGGGCAGCATATCAAAGGTAACAGACATTGTACAGTGCTTCTAAAGAATAACCCATGTAATCTTTGTTTTCCATGGGAGGTCCATGCTGATTTGCCAAGTAAAAAAAAACACTGATTTTTACAAATTCTTGAAATACACTACTTCCATAATTAACACCCAGAGCAAGCGAACAGTTTAATTTCATTACACAAAGATGCAAAATACATGATACTGGACTGATGCATGTAACAATCCAAGGCACAAGCACTTGTTACCTAATTATGGGGACTACACACGTGCTGGAAAATAGACATTACGGGAGCCTCAAAGGATATAAATTTTTGTCCCAACAACCCGGTTCCAACTTTCCTAACAGAAGAAATTGTCCCCTTAATGCAGTGACGGCCTCAGTACAGCATGTGGACCGTTTCTAAATTTGAATTGCAATGTACATGTATATCATGACCTGTTTGTGACAATGAACCATACAAATGTGATATTGTTACAACCCAAGGCACTGCGTTAGTCATTAAATGGAGGTTTGTATAAAAAACAAATCTCCTCAAAAACACTGTGGATACATGTACATGTAATTAAGGCCTGTAGTTGCAATGTTAGTGCCAAGGGTGATATTTCTGCCATCACATCCTTTGTGACTTTAATACTCCCAACACTTCACCAAACAGGAAGTCTCAATCACAACGCTGAATGTTGGAGGCAGAGTGAATGGATAGAAACTTAATCTTCTCTCATGTTTGTATTGCGCAGTTTCAGTGGTCGGATGAGTGCTTCCACTTTGAACATTCAAAGTAACATGCTGAAATCAAATCAGATGGCTCTGAAAATTTCACGGCTGAACACGGAATTTACTTTAAAAAGCAATTATTGAGATACAAACATTTCCTTGTTAACAATAACATGATAGGCTAAATGACTGAGCATGTCGAAAATGAAATTCAAACTGGGGTCATATTATTAGAAAAAAATAAACAAATCTTCAAAGTGTTTGTCTTTGTGGTGTATCAAATGCATTGAAGTTTGTATAACATGCATGTTCAGTAGAACATGAAAGTTAGGCTCCACATACAAATAACTAATGCCACAGTATCCTTGTTTAAAGTTCTGATTTCATAATGGGATTTGATGGCAGACAAGCTTGGAATTCTGTGCCTAAACATGTAATGGGTGAAGTGAATTTTTTTTTCCTATTCGGGAATTTTCTTGAGTGGCTGTCCACCGACTCAAAGATGGATAGTTAGTCTACATGCTTTTAAATAAAACAAGCACCGGTCATCAGAATGTGAATGTGATTGGTCAATGTTGGATGAGTGTCCTTCAAATGTTGACTCAGATTGGCCTAGCAGCTCAAAGCACAAGACAAAACTGATTTCAACACAAGTGATTTCCAAAACTTTCTTTTTCTAAGCTTTTAATTTGATTTTTTTGACAAAGTTACTTCAAGTCACCAATTCAACATAAGGGCAAAGATGACTTGATTTCAAGTATTCATTTGATCATTTGGGTCATGGGTCGTTCCATGAGGTTGGGGCACAATTTGTGACGGTATCCTTGTTACATGGGTAACTTTTACCACCTGTCATGACCTGTAGAGTAGGTCATTTACTCTGTAAAAATAACACACAGCTCTGTCATCCTTGCAAGATGTACATGCATAACAACATCAGTTTGGAATCCACGTGCAGGGAAATAGCTGCTCATTTTTACGGAACCCACGTAACAAAGGACACCGTCACAAATTATGCCTCAACCTCATGGAAAGACCCCCATATTTGATCACTGCCTAAATGGTGTACATCCCCAATAGCGTGTTTTTTTTGTGCACAGAATACAATGTTGGTTTGTAATCCAACACCACAATGCAGTGAGCTTGTCCAAAAACATTACTTCCCTTTGACATGTTCAACAATAGTTGGACAAGCTTCCTACTCCATTCCCCAACTTTGGCATTATTTTGGGTTTGAGGGAGAATGAAAACATTGGACAGGATCTTGTAGAAATTTTTTTTTAACATAGTCTCATGACGCCCCTGCAATTACTAGTCGGAGAAGCAAGGTTGGTGCAGTGTTACTTTTCCTTCCTTTTCACCTCTAGGCCCAGGGTTCAGATCTCACTCAGGCCAACATGCAGATTGGGTTAAATTCACTTCAAACTCGACCCTTTGGGTTCTATCTGGAGTGACCCTCTGGGCTTTTCCTTCCTAACTCTAAACCTGCAACTGCTTGTTAATGCCTCCTCTAAAAAGGTTTATTGAGGTTTTCCAACAAGAGTGACTGTTGAGCTTTTGAAGAGTCCTTGGTAAGACAGAGCAGTTGGTAAAAAATAAATTATATGGACATACAAGTACATAGAGAACACATGGTGCTTGACTGAATGTCAGGTCCCGGTATGCATTGTATAATACATGCAGTGTACACACCATCTCTGAAAAAACTGTCAGCAAGCCATTTAGCACAGTGATGTGAAAAGCAACAAACAGAGCTCATACATTCATGAACTTCCCTTCCAAGAAGAGACAGAGAAAAGTCTTGACAATTTCTCAAGAAATCTAAAAATTCTACAACAGGAGGTGCATTTATATGTATTGAAATAACACACCTTATCTATTTCCTTGGCTGGTGCAACCAGTCGGCCTTTCATGTAGCTGTCATCAGCTATATCTGCCTCCTTACATTTACTCTCATAGTTTCGCTTGCTCTAAAACAGAACAAGACGTAACATACATGTATGAATCCTCACAGCACTACCTGGGAAATACAAGATCAGAGCATAAAATTACAGTGTATTATCTGCCACATTCTGACCACTTCTGGTAATTGTCTAACACAGGATGAGGTCAGACAGATTAAAGGTTTTGAAGTCCAAAAAGCAATGCCTTATTGGTGCTTTTACGGTTTCTTGTGCATCAAATGTGCTTGCAACTTTGAGAGTACGGGCATCTACCATTGGAACTTGGTACATATGTGCCAATCAAACATCGACAATGGCAGAGCAAGATTGACTATGCTAGTACATTGTGTCCAACGACTTTTTTTTAGCCTAATTTCACACAATGCAATATTGATCCAGTTGAGGACCCTCTGGATGTTAAAGTTCTAAATTAATTTTTTCACAGCATCACATCATTATAAAGATAAACCCACTGATTTTGGACATGGGTCATTCTATAATTAGGGGTCTAATTTTTTTCATGTCCCTGTCACATCTGATACGCGATTTTTTTTTCAGTTCAAAATACACTCTCTAATTTCAAAGAGTGATAAATTAATGTAAAGTACATGTACCTGCCAAAGAAATAGTAATACTTTGTAATCAACTTCAGTGACTTTTCGATGTCAAATTACACAGGTCAGGTGTAACAGGGGCACAAAAATGTCACCTGTTTGGACCCTGAATTTATAGAATGACTTGCATCACTTTTGCCAAGAAAAGGCAGTGTAATTTTAACCCATCTAATTGGTGAGACATGTAGTTGAGTCCATATCAAGTAAAGTTGTACATGTAAGTCAGTCACAAGTCAAATAAGGAGACTAGCAACGGGGAATAAAAAGTTGACTAAGAAATACATAATTTTGTTACATGTTCTAATCCCGGAAAACATCATTTCCTCAAGTACAGACTAGTTGTAAGAAAGCTTTTTTTTGGGGGGAGGGGAAATCTTCCTGTTTTTCTTTCTGTCCATTTTCCTGAAACTATCAGAGCAAAAATCCTACTTTACTTCCTTTTGCTTTAATATAGCGCCATGCTCCTTATCTGATCTGTCTAAGCGTTGCTTGGAAACAGAAAGACCATCAAACGCTATGTCTGGTTGTTTACACATTGCTTATTTGTACAGTTTACGGCTGTTATCATATGATGACTTTTGTCCATGTATGTGTTGTGATATGCACATACTGTATATAAACGTACATCATCATCACTGTCATGTAATCTGGAACTGAAATACACATGTGGAACAAGAATCCTACACAAACAAGGAAATTTAGGGGCAATGTGTGGTTTGTCTCTGGCATGCTGTTCTTTAACTGGTGATAAGCTTTAAAGAACCTGACAAAAATAGCTTTGACTAATTGCCTGATCGAGGCAATGACCCAAATGATTTTTTCTTAAAATGGCGTCCATTCTCTGTGTAACAGTAGTAAACCTCAGAGGCTGAGATAAGAGGGGGAAATGTGACAAAAATAGTCTCCTGCATACTAATGAAGCCTATGTTACAAATGTGCATATACGCTCGCTCTTCCTGCTCTGAGAAAGTGGACGAATCAGCCACTTCACTCTCAGTGATTTTGTTAGCTACCTTGCCTCGACATTAAAAAAGCTTTCATGCCAGATTTTTTTGAATTACAACTGCTATAAAAGTTATCAGGCCTGTCATAAAATCTGGCTCCAGCTCAAGCACACCGCTTAAGGAACAAACTGCGCATTACATCCCTCACACTGGCCAGTTTTGTCTTAGCACAGGTACCAATTTGCCTGTGGTTAGGGTGAAGCAATTGTGTTAGAGGGTTCCGCCCATGGGCACATGTGCACGGAACCCACAGGCTGGGCTCATACCAACAGTCTGTAGACTGTAGCCACAGATCCATTAGGCCAGGTCTCCTACCCAACTCTTACATGGACGACTTTGTTGTACTGGTCCTTCTTGGCAGTGATGAGCTTCTTGATGGCGTCCTCTGATTTCCGCCGCAGATCTTTTTGCGACTCCCTGAATTCCTCCACCTTCTTCGCTTCATCCCCTAGCCTGATTGAGATGTCAATGTGGGCTTGGCCACAGAGCTCGGTCTGTGTAACTACCTCACTCCACGCTGCCTTCAATGTTCTTCAACAGAGTAACAAAGAACAAACTCATCACAAACAGTACACAGAGCTGTGCGTGCACCATCACGTGTCATACATGCATGTTTGATGCTGATTGACTTCCTCAACTATCCCGGGAAAGCTAGCTACATGTAGATCAGCGGAGGGAGCTGTTTTGAGAACGTCTATGGGTCACCTCTGATCATCCCCTCTCATTTCTTTGAGCACAAACTGGTTTCTCATGGTTGAAAACACTGTAAGGCTCATCCCCTTCAGAGAAGGTCGTACATGTACCTTTCTCCAGTCCTACTAATCTGTCATCCAATCCCATGATCTTATTTACCCCGGCTTTGATTTTGAACCAGCTCTTTTCCACAGTTTTGGGGGACGCTTCACCCAGCAAGAGATGAAGTGCTAGCCTCAGAAAGCTTAATTTTTTGAGTTGCTCTTCTGTATACATGTACTGTGTTTTAAGCATTTCAGATCAAATCCAATCAACGTCAAGTACTTCTTTTTTAGGCAGGCAACTAAAAGCTTCAAATACGCACTATGTTGTACTGAAACTTAATACATGATGCAGATTGCTACAGTTTGGTTTGGCCAAGTTATTGGGAAGGTTTTGAAGGATTTTTATAGGGTTACTTGCAGCAAGTAGATTGTTCAAGCTACTCTTTATATCCATGCATTACATTTACATGTGTAAAGTACCCTTCAAAACTAAAGGGGAAAACATGTACATGTACATATGTAAGTGCGTCACTTGCTTTTTGCAGAGTAGGGGATTTTTTTGCAGGGCTCAAAGCAAAAGCAAGAAAGTTGGATCTACACAAATGTGAACTCTACGGTATGAGTTCACTGCACATGTGTGCATTTCACTTTAACCACGGACCAGGGAAACTCAACCAAATATCCTGCCTTCCTTTGTGCTTCTATTTCTACTTCCTCATACCTCGCTTCACCTTACACACAGTTAGTAAATCCAAAACAAAGACGATCCTGAACAGAGGTAGCCTTTTGACCTTGCAGGATTGAGTACACAAGTATGAGGCACAGGGGAAGAATAGCAGGCAGAGAAAGTGGAAGGAAATAAGTCAACGTTCAATTTTCCAGAAACAATAAAATAAAAAAACTATCACAGTAGGACACACAACAGACAGCAATGACCATTACACTGGACAGAGTTCTGTTGTATATATGCATCTCCATGTGTTGGGTTTTTTCTCATATTTCAAACATTTCAGATTTATAATAAAAATGCAAATCTGATTTTTTTTATGCTTGGATGTTCCCATATACATTTTAACATTATCTTTATGCATTTTTGCTATCTATATGACATTTTTTTAAAAATTCAAACCGGTATACACCCTGGCATACATGTACAGTACTTTGGCTTTAACTGTGAAGCATGTTTCTCAAATTAAAAAGCCTTTTGAATGAGTAACCAACCAGTATAAACACTGCTATAACATATACATATACCGTCATGCACTGATCAAATGGGCCTTGTTAGTTGCAATTTGTTTTTCATGGCAACGTTGTCAGAATTTTAAGACATTCTCTTTCATGCAGTCATCAAACTGTCAGCTTTGTGTATTTATGCAATTGGGTGCAACCAACAGACCAACAGTGTCAATTATTCCATAAAAAGAAATGCTTGTGACATTTGTATTTTAACACTGTTATTTTGGTCATTTCATGTTGCTTACATGCATATGCTTACCCAATCTCTTCCTTTCCTCCTGAAGTCCTCGAGATCTTGAGAAGAGTTTTGCCAAAAGATTCCTCTGCTTTTGCTCTGACATAGAATTGTTTGGAAAAAAAGAATGATGTGTGAAGAACTATTAGATTGCACATGTTCTGCCAAGTCAATACCTAAAACCTGTGACTTTAATTTCTGTTCATAAAAACAGTCTTCATTGGGAAAACCATTTCTATCTCATTAATGACACTGACGTCCAAAACTGATAGGCTCTGAGAGGACACCAAGGCCAACCAATTACACCCTAAGTTTGAAGTTGACATGCCCAATCCTTGTTGTGGGAAAACTACATCTAGGTTGGTTGTTTTAACCCTGACCCTGTTCTTTGACATTTGAAAAGTCCAAAATCAATAGACCTCTAAAGTGAAGGACACGGCGATAAACCAAGATACCATGTTTGAAGTTGACATGTCAAGTTTTTCTCAAGTTACAATGGGAAAGCACGATCTGGCTGACACATGAATGCACTAAGAGTCAGGCACACAATCTAGTTCTTACTCCAAAGTTGTGGGGACCAATAACATTGTGGGGACAGCAAAATAGCCTCACAATTCAGTTCTGATTTTCCTTAAAAACCTGCCTCATAATGCTGTGAGGGCCTACTACCTGATGCCATTTCAGCTTCACAATGTCCAGTGGGGCCGTTGGAATGAAACATCATTGAAAATCGGCACAAAAAAGGGAAATGATGTAAATGTATGGGGCCCAAAACACAGAAAGAGGAAAAAGAAAAGAAAACTTGAAAAGCACAAAATCAGGTACGACACATAAAACACAAACACCCTGAACAACGGAAACTGCATGAAAAAATGAAAAAATCAAGTCATATTTGTACAAGGGAAACAATACTCTCAGGGGAGGCATTTTGGATTTCTTGGGAGAGATGTTTTAGGGTTGGTGAAGATGAAGGCAATTGCAATAATACATGTAGTTGAAAAAAATTACAAAATTATGTAAAAGTACACAAACCCTTCTGAACGCTTTCTACTGCAGTAATTTTGGGAATAAAAAGCCAAGCCGTTTTTAAAATTTTGTTTTTTAAAGGAATCATTTTTATTACAGCATTTATACAAAAGCGTGTTTTATGAGATCTCATGATCACTCCTTGTGGTGAACAAGCATCATTTACATGCATGAAACTTGCGAATTAGACATTGCATGATTTAACATAACTGGTTCATAATTACTTTTGTTGCTGTGTCTGCCAACAGATGATATGTTCAGGTCTGGTACGTATATTTTATGAGGTACTGGCCATGTGGTCCAGTTACCATAATTACTGGGTACATAAAGAAATTTGACCCCTGAGGATTCTGTTGCATTTGTAACAAGTTATTAATTCTTTCATACATTTGTTTATCCAAATGTAAAGAATACATGGATAGCAGGTAAACTCAGACCTGTGTGTAATATAAATGTGATGCACATGTACCCGTATGTATGTACTACTCCAGTTTCCAAAAAAAAAAAAACCACAGGTATATTTAGTGTGAGTACACATGTAACATGTGTAAATATGCTCTGAATTTTCATACACAGGAAATGAAAGTGGATGCAAAATGATTCTCAGACAATGGAAACATTATGTCGTCGCATCCTTTTACTGGCATGTAAACAAGCAGTATAAGAATGGGAAGAGATGTGTAAAAACAAAAGTGAAAGACTAATTTCATACTCTAGGAAAGAAATTTCTGCAGTAGGTTTTGTGTCAAGTTGTGTCCACTAATCTTTCATTTTTAATCCTTCACATTTCATTCTTGTGGTATACATGTACGTGCACACAGTGTTTTCACCTGTTCAAATTTCATTCTTTGATTCTGAGTGGACATTAAACTAAATATCATTTTGACAAATTTCAAACAAGTTGTGCAATATGGTTTCCAAATGGATAACAAGGGCCCAACAACAAGGGAATTTCCTGCACTCTACCCTAACATATTCACTTTAATACCTGCACCATGCCTACAGTAGCCGCCCTACATGTACATGTACAATTTACATGTAAATGTGTCCCTGAAGTATTCACATTCCTTTATAAAAAGTTGTCCTTTACAATTTTTTTCTTGCATTATGAACACCCTTTTAAGCTGATTTTTTTTTTTTACGGTATCCTCAAATGTTCCTCTTCCTTTTGCTATAATTAACCCAGAAACAAAAGTGCCTATAAAAACTACTTTCCAGAAAGGGGTGACCTTTGCACAACCTGCATTTACCGTATGTGGACCTCTTCTTTACTTATGATAGACAATATCCCCAGTTAGTTCTCAACAAAAGGATGAATTTTAATCAAACTTTTTGCCCAAAACTCTGCCTAGTATTACATTGTAGGGCTTGTTTGTTTCACACAAATCCGGATCTCAATCCCCAACACTGGATTGCTACATTCATTAGGCTGCTTCTGGTTTCAGTGAACAAAGGACAACTGATTGGGATTCCAACCTGTTTGAAACAAACATGCCTTAAATATAGGCCACAAAGGGACTTCTATATAATGCTTAATTATAAATCCAAGTCAGACTAGGCTACTGATATGCAAATTGAATCAGGTAAACTTTCAACCAATAAGATACACTGGCTTCACTCAGGGACATTGGGATAAACTGACTGATTGTAATTTTTGGTTTTTGTCACAGCTAAGCAACATCAATTGCTTTAGCTCAGTTTCACTCCACCAATACATGTACATTCTTACCTGAATAAAGGTTAGAGGACACTTTTCCTGCATGGATCTCAAAAAGTTCATTGCATTCATTCTGGTGCATACAGGTTAATAATGGCATAATCTTTGAAGCAAACTGTGCCAACTCAAATCATGTTGAATTCCTCAGTGGCCTGGGGCCACATCAGTTCTGCGAACATACATGCACTGGTGTGTACATGTGCTCGGACAATAAGGTGTTGCAAATTGGTGCTTGGTTTCATCTATTCTACAACTGAAATATATCTGCCAGGTCTTTTCCCTGCAAAAGTTAAAAATGCTGTCATCTTCTAGGAAACTTTATGAAAATGAGACCCATTGATTCTATCATTGGAGGGAAATGTGGAGACTTATTCGTCTGAGAAAAAGATTTATGCAGACATTGGAGCTTGTAAATTTTGAACAAGCAAAATCTGCCTCATCTACATGTAACTTTGTTTTTCCCTGACCTCAGAACATCTGGACAAGTGGCTAGACCGTACTTGGTAAGTTGATTAATTCTAAGGGTACAAGGGTAATTCTGAAGTTCCCAAAATATCAGTTAACACGTATCTGTATGTAACCTTATATCATGTACGTATATACCGCTATCATATTTGATACCAATTGATGAGCAATTTAACGGGACTTTGTCGGCGATTCATGAAGCAATGATCACTCCCACTGTACTTGATCCAGTATTTCACAGTAAATAATCTGTCCCCTCCCCTTTTTTGTTTTCAGGGCCCTTCCTTCCTTACCTCTGCTTTAGGAAATCTTCGTAATCTTTGCACATTTCCCGCCCCTCTTTCATACGTTTCAGCAACACTTCGTAGCCATTTGTGCTGTTGAATTCAGTGTCCTGGGCATTTTCAAGGGAAACAAAAACACAAGCACAGTGTCACAGAAGCATCCAGTTTGGGTCTGCAAGGGGGCAAAGTTTTTCTGAAAACAATAATTCTACTCTTTTCACGCATAAAGAAGCCTCGACCCCCTGAGAAAGGTGGAAAGCGTGGTACCATTTCTAAATTATAGGCACTTTTAATTTCTTTAAAAGGTGATGGTATTGAGATGTTTTAAGTGCAAACTTTCAAAATGCACAGGTGAGTTTCGGTAAACCTCATTTTCAATATTTATTGCATTATCTGATAGGATATTCTGACGTCTCTTTGCTTTTCAATGAGTACATCCAAATGAATACCGGCACATCCATTTTCATGGGCAAAATTGTGAATGGGATGCCATCCCAGGAAGAAAATCTCAATACATGTATTACATTCTTAGTGCACACACAAAAAGCTGCTGGATTTTTTCAATTTGGCAGGCTTGAACTTTTCTTTTCTTTGATGAAAGTGCAAGTATTGTATGTGTAAAGACATAGCAACAAGCCAGTGAGCCCCTTTTTCTCAGCAATGTTTTAGTAAAGCGAAATTCTGGGTTTCGTAATCCTAATGAGACAACGTATATGTATGCAATGAACCACATCTTTCCTGAATGACATCATAGGAACAGTACAGTGCCCTCAGTTGTCCAGGAAAGCATGGGCAACTCTGAAAGTTTCAGGCAGTGCACTTTGAAGTTTAACTTAACTATGAAAAATGAACGCTTTGACACTGTATAAATGTGTATCTTTCCATTGAGTGAATAAGTTGTGATATCCTGAAAGTGCCATGCTCAATACTTCAACTACTTCATGCACAAGCGTACAGGTATGCAGATTTTAAACCCCCTAAGTGTTAACATCCTTGTTTGAAGTAGTCTCTGAAACCACATAAACTTCCTTATTTTAACCTCAAAGTGTCAAGTGGGAAGTCACAAGACTGAATAATTTCCACTTAACGTGGACACACACCCGATCTACATGAACATCCTGTACACTAGCAAAATAACTACTAAATACACAAATACAGAACTGGTGATATGCAGCACTTGACATATGTACATGTACATGTAAGCATGTGCATGGATACATAGTACACCTACATGTACATGTATGTAGGATGGAAAGTAAAGTCATATTAATCTGATCTCAAAACTGTCCATGAAATACTGACAGGTTGCACTAGTGACTCTTTTCTTCACTGGCTGACTGGACAAATATACCAGATTTTAACAAGTTTGCAAACCTGATTTTTTTCTAGGATGGCAAATACATGTAGTTACATGTTTGTTTGACAGAATGACTGTGCTAAATATTTGATTAAGGTACACCTATTTCAGCTTGATTCTTGAATTTTCAACATCTTCTATTTAAAAAATGAAGTACCTGAACAAGACAATGACAAAATTGATCTGCCTGTTCCAGCCAACCTCTTCCGTGTTCAGGATTTTTAAAGCGGATGGTATTTAAGAATTAAAAAAAATTAAAAAGGTTGCCTTTTTATTAGTGTTTCCAACAGTTCCTATTTTTCACTAATCAAATAGTCAAAAATGAAACAGACATGTTGGACAAAAGAACTAAACATACATACAATGTACATGTAAATTAATATTGACTGAAGTATTGTAATGGAGACCCCTTTGTAGGGGGCCACGCCCGCCAGTTGAGAACACAAACTTAAAATCAGTCCACCGAACACAAGTTATTTATTTTGGTCTCCAGAAAAAGTATAAAAAAGAAACATTTTATTTCTTAATTCTCTAAAGAAAAAAGGAGTGAGATTTACCAGGCTAGGTCCCCATGGCACTCGACAACATAGCAAATAAAATATAAACTTACATGACAGAAGAGAGATACTCATGGATGGCAGTAACTTATATAAAATAAAAAGGCTACAACTAGCTTCACAGTGTATACAGAAAAAAAAGACTGCCACCAATCAAGCTACAGTAATGTGTCCCAGCCAGAGTGTTCTGTGGAAATGCCTCACCCAGTGGTGGTTGCATGGTCCTTTTATATCCTCCTTGCAAACAATCAGTGGAATGCTAGACACAGTCGATTGTACTTTTTGTACTTTATCTCAATGGACATGACCCAGCACCCCCCCAAAAAGGAATGCGCCAACACATGAACATACCACCAGCTGGGTGCACTACCAACAACTGTGTCTTGACCCAGCACCAGAGACCTTTTTGTTACAGTATTAATTAATTGTATGTTCAATACAATGAATTAGGACATGGCAGTGTTTGCAGATCACATGGCCAATGGCAAAATATGGAAAGTGACCTACACTAGCAGCTCCTACATGTACCATGCCTACTCAAAACTTTCTGCTTTCCGATGAATAAGTTGAAACAAAACAAAAGTGTACTTTTTTCTACTAAATTTTCCTGTGGTTAGAAAAAAATTTAAAACCAAGGAAGGCTCTAAACAGGCAGGGATGACTTGGTTTCAATTTTGTTTTTTTACTCGGCCTTATCCACTACGCTATCAAACCACTGAAAATGAAAAGCTTGTAACATTAAAATATTCCAAATGTCATCAAGATGTGGTAGTATACATATGTACAGGATGAATGATGTACATGTAAGCACATATTGCTGCCATTTGTTAAGCCTTGGAAAACTGAGCCCCGACAGTCCTCACATTATCTCACTTTACCCAAGTAGGCACCATACAACAAATTTAAAAAATTGAAAAAAAGGAAAAAATCCTGCTGTCTTTTCTTTCTACACAAACACTTCTCAACAACTTCTTTTCACATCAAAATGCTTACATTTACCTGACAAGCATTGTGGAAGTAGCGTTGTGAAATGTCTAAGAATTGTCAACTGTAATAGTAAGATTAGAGGATATTTAAATAGCGCACATATCTATCACTACTGATGCTCAAGGCGCTGCATTATCATTATCTCTGCACTTTGGGCCCACTACAACTGAACTAACCTGAAACCACCTTAGCTCCCTGGGGAGTATGCTACATGTGCATGTGTAGCTGATGCAGCCCTATCAGGTGCACACGGCTAACATAACCAAATCTGCCCCCATGGGTACCCATTTACTCCTGGGTGGAGAGAGGCACATGGGGGTAAATTGACCTGCCCAAGATCCCTACATGCTGCCACCAGCTGGATTCGAGCCCCCTGACCCTATGACCAGAAGCTACAAACCCTAACCACTAGGCCACATGCCCCCCGGTATTATACTATTATTTAAGGCGAGTTTTTATCCCTTTTTGTGGCAATGTTTGGCAGCTTTCATCCCCATTACAGTAAATGAACGTAGTACATAATCACGTTGCAAATTAAGTGCAATTGTGCCTATTCCCCCAATTCTCTATAGTGTTAAAACCGGGGTAAGTGGAAGGTTCGGCCT